GGGCAGGGAAATAGAGAGAGGAGGGGGCGGGGTGCATCCGGCTGGGGCTGGGGCTGGCTGTGTCGGGGAGAAGTAGTTGTTCCCCACTGGATCAGAATCTTGACAATGGAGAAACCGGATATGAACTGAGGCTGCCTCCGCCCCTCTCTCTGTCTCTCTATGTGTCTCTCTCTCCCACCCCGACGCGCCTCCATCCCGATATGCCCCAAATTTGGAACTCAATTGAAAAGGTAAATTGAGTTGGATTTTAACTTGAAATCCAAATTTAACAGGTAGGGTACCCAAAGAAATATGTAACTTAATAATGCTGAAGGAGATATTCCTCGACTCCAACCATTTCAATGGTATATTTGTTGCATTGCCTTAATGCATAAACAACCTAAGTATATTTGTGTATGTGAGCCTCCGTGCGTTTGTATGTGATTCGCCTCGCTTATCTTTTTGTCATGCGAGCCTGACGTGGAAACAACATTAGTGAGTGGTGGTCTTCCAGACATTATATGCCAGCATCTTGCTAATCTTGATGTTAATGTGCATCCACGGTGCAGATCAGTTTCACCAGCTCAAGGGGATATCATTGGCGAACAGTTCAAGATTGCGGTATTATTTTTTGTTTTTGGTTTTTGTTCAACGTTTTCTTTTTCAGCTTTATACATATGACTCAAATTTTGCTGGAAATAGCTTGTTTTGTCAAGCTGAAAGAGTACTGGTTAAATCCAACAGCGAAGGATTTGACTGAGACTAGAAAACTTTGGAAAAAACAGTGGAAAGTCCATGGTAAATACTCTGATCTGCTTGCTAAAGACTACTTCAATTTACCATTCAAGTTTTATGGAGACGTTAATGTGACAAGGATGTTTGAGGATGCTGGGAGTTTCAGTTGGGATGGATTTTTATCATAGCTTGATCATTCAAGTGATAAGACAAAAGACTGAAAAATTCGCAAGTATAAAGTGTTATAATGGAACGTTGTGGGAAGTTCAAATCTGCTTCGAAAAAGATGGAGTGTTTCGGGACTGTAATGTGACGCCTGAGGATATGTTTCGGGACGTAAACAGACAATAAATGAATATCACAAAATTTCACTTCTTGAGATGTCATCTACAATAAAGGCAGAGGTAATAACAAATTGTTCTTTCTGAGTTCTATGCTGTAATCACACATTTATAAATTGCCTATGTGATTGTAGAAATGTTATGGTAGAGATGAGGATGGTGGTGGTAAGACTCCTACTATAGCTGATTAGCCCAAGCAATGAGCACTAAAGTCTGGTGGTGGTGATGAGTAAGTTAATTAAAGTTATAATTATCGATCTTTTTTCTATTCTTTCATTTTTTTCATGATGGTCTTTATGTGTGTATTATGTTGATGTTTGGGCTACAGACCAGTGCCTTTAGTAGTAAACTAGCTCTCATCGTTTAGTCCGTTTGTTCTATATTAAGTCTATTTTAGAGGTATTTACAATGTTAATTGAATTGTAGCCACCGAGTACTTGCTACAATGTTACTATTTGGAAATGCATAGGGGCTTTCCAATGCAGCAACACAAATCTGAGCAACCTCCTCTCTTGATATCTTACCCTGCATATATATAAATACTATAAATCATAACATTTAGATATTATTACTATTATAAGGGAAAGAAAGAGCAATACATGTCATCACAGGCATACAACAAAGAGAGAATAGTGATCTTCTATTTGATTATATACTGTTACATTGTCTCTTGGTAAAAGATGAGATCTGCTCCGGCAGGCTCCTCAGTTAATGCACAAGGCCTCACAATTGTATATGGTATTCCACTTTCCCGTATTAAATCCTCCCCCTGCTCCAAAACTTATCAATGTACAAAATCGAAAGAGCTAAATCTGACCTAGAAAAAGAAAAAGAACAGAAAAGAGCTACGAAGTGGTATTTTGATACACTGATTATATATAAAAATATCAAACAGCTTGCACTGAATTAGTATGAAACCTTCAACTTGAATGTCAGGATAAAATCCAATTCCTTGTTTAAGCGAACAGCAGGAGGTTGTTTACTTAGATCAAGTCCAGGCCTGTCAGGTCGGGTAACTCCTGCAGAACCTAAGTGTACGAACATACACGGAACACAAGCAAAGTGATTCTTTAAAGACTAAAACAGAAAGTGCACCTAGCAGATCAATTATGTTTAGTCATAAGAAGATAATCCAACAATATGAAAAGAATATTGTGAAACCTGGGAGTAATAGGCTATTTTAGATATGCTCGTATGCTTGATAATGGGAGCTTAAATGCCCCTTCCACAAAAGTAGGATTCAGTTTCCCATTAAATTCAAATTTGCTAAATATGAGCTGCCATAATTTTGAATCCCATCAATAAACATAGAAGAAAATGAAGTGAAAGAATAGACTAAAAGAAAGTGGCTACAGAAATGTGCCTGCAATGACACAATATTGCTGGGGGTCAAAAGGTGGTGCATTTGATACAGTTCTTGCTCGAAATATCGGCTTCAAAGAAGAAAATGGCACACATACCTGGAAAAAAATGTGACAGATTACTAATGGAGTTTGAGATATGTAACTACAATTTTAATGTCAATCAAGGAGCTAGTGTGTTACTTACTGTCTGCCACTGGTCCCCAACAGTGTCAAAGCCTGCTCTGTAACCAACAGTATCCCAATCAAGACTTGTGCGAACAATTAGCAAAGATAGATGCAAAGATTGATGAAGTTTGAAAAATCGCTAGGCGGTAGGCTAAAAGAACCAATGTTTTAAAAGGCGAGGCATAGAAGCGATGCATTTTTAGTCCGCTATGCGAGGTATAAGCCTTTCAAACATTAATTTATTTTAATAAAAAAAATTACAAATAATAATACAGATAAATTGTACTACTAATTCTTAATGAACCAGAATATTCTATAAAAAAAATATAAGTACTAAATGTTATTCAAGCATAATAATCAATCTCAAAACATAAAATACTTATTCAACATCAAAAGTAAAACTCAATTCATGCTCCCACTCATTATCACGAAACATAAAATGCTATGATTTTTGGCTTTTGTGTGGACTTGAGTGTTATTTTTAGTTTGTTATTGTGTTGTTTGGAAAAAAAAAACATATATATATTTATTTATTAAATGTGGATAGTATCTGGGTAACAAATGAAAAGGTGAAGATGATAAAAGAGAAGTTAAAAACTGCACAAGACCGACAGAAGAGTTATGCAGATAACAGGTCCAAGGATCTTGAGTTTGCAGTTGGGGATTAGGTGTTCATGAAGTTATCTCCTTGGAAGGGTGTGATGAGATTTGGGAAACGTGGGAAGTTAAGCCCTCGTTACATTGGACCCTAAGAGATTACAGAGCGAATTGGACCTGTCACTTATAGACTTGCCTTACCCCCAGAACTATCTCGAGTTCATGATGTATTCCATGTATCCATGCTCCGGAAATACATGTCAGATCCTTCTCATGTATTAGAATATCAACCTGTGGAGTTAGAAGAAGATTTCCTTTTACTCCGATATGTTTTGCAGGGAGAAAGAGAAGCGGAGAAGACGAAGGAATCTTTGACGAATATTCTCGTGGGGAAAATCATTCCCTCCAGTTTACATGTTGGCTAATTTTTTTGCAAAGATGATTATGAATGACCATTTGAATAATTGAAACACAATTCGAAGTGAGCCCCACAAGTGATCCATCAAACAAATTTATTGTAACACCCTGACTCCAATTATTTCCTATTTTAATTTAATTAAGAGAAAATATTAATTTACTCTTGGGTTAAGGGTAATTTTGGTCAATTTCTTATCCGGGAAGATTTTGGGACCACGAGTGGTTTGGTTGCGTAGATGGTACTGAGACGAAACCGTAGACAGACGGTAGGCTTGAATCGGAGATTTAACGAAGTTTTGGCAATCAAAACAAGTTCGGTGGCGGAACCATAATTATTTTGAAGGGTTTAGTAAAAATCAGATTTTTCATGAATTTTCATTTTTACCTCACTCTCTCTCTCTCCCGCGTACGCTCTCTCTCTCTTCCGTTTCTCTCTCCCCGACTCTCTTTTTCTCTCTCTTCGATTCTCTCAGCTCCGGCAACGGGAAGGGCCGGCACCGGTCCCCCTTGATTCGTTTCGAAGCCCC